GACTGACACATGGGAAGATGCTAACTAGATGATTTCTAAGGTTTCCTCCAGTTTTGCTCATTAGAAGATTTTATAATAGTGTCGAGGGGAGGAGAAATGAATTTCCACGAGGTAGGAAGTAGAATAAACAGGACTTGTCACACTTGGGACTCTGACACTTAGTGTTTTACTGTTGAAAATGTAACTTTCATAATTAGGCTGAAGTTGGTATTTGTTCAGCTCAGCTTTATTTAAGAATCATAAACTCTTGATTCCTTTTTCTAAAAAGTAAATGATAGTGACATGGTAATATTAGAATGACACTTAAACTCATTGATGGGGTCTACAGTACCTTAAACAGATTTGATATTTGAAATAAGTGTTTACCACACAATCTGTCAGGATGTGTAAAGTCTGGAATAAAGAATGGCCAAAACAAGTTTTCTTCCTCTTGGTAAGTGTCCTAATAAAAGGGTACGTGTGAAAATTCTACAACTTATTTCTGTAGGAACTGGAGACAATGGACTATTCAATTGTTGCAAAAGCGGTAAGGAAAATTCAGTAACACCTCCAGAACACACCAGTGTGGCTGATGCAATAAGAGCAGATTCCCCAAAGCTGGTCATAGCCCCAGTGTTCAGCACACACTGCGCCTGGCATCTGTCTGATGGATTGCTCCCCTGGGAGGCCCAGGGACCTTGAACTCAAACATCCCAAACTTGGCTCATCACTTCTCTCCTAATCGTTTCCTGTTCTCACTGTGATTTCTGTGAATGGCGTTACTACCAATTCCCTAAGCCCGAGTATATACCATTCATTTCTCCTTCCACATGAGATTCAGTAGTCAGCAAGTTCTATTTACTTAATTTAAACTTTCTTATCTGGTCTATTGCCTGACGGGTCTCCTCCGGCTCCCCAGCAATCTCTGCCAGGGTCAACTTTCTAAAACACAGGTGTGACTGTGCTGAACCACTGTGCCGGCAGGGTAAGGTCTGCTCCAGGGATGGCTGCAGAGGCCCCTTCTGAGCAGATGCTGATGTGGCCTGTCCAGCCTCATCTCAATGCCAGCTTTGCAGGTCTCTTGCAGAGTATGCTGGGAGCATCCGTGCCCTTCTATGCCTCAGCCCATTGATGATGCCCTGCTTACCCCTCACCTACTGTTGTCTTATGGGCCCTCTGCCACCTGGGCCATGGAGTCCCCTTCACTCCTCCAGATGCTGCAGCTCCCTGGACATGCCTCTAATGCTGCCGAAAACGTGCTGTGCTGCTCCAGGCACAGCCTTTGAAGTTATGTGTTTTTGGGTTTAAATCCCAATTCTTCCACTTACTGGCTGTGAAAACTTGGGCAACTAGTCTGTCTGAGCTCTAGTTTCTTCACATGTAAAGTGGATATTACAATACCTAATGGATAGGGCTCACGCGAACATTAAGATGATGTATGCAAAGTGGAGCCGGAGTCTTAAGTAGCCTAAGAAGTCAACGCTGAGAAACTCAGAGTAACAGTTACACCTTTGCCAATCAGGAGATAGTTTCCCCCTTCTACCTACCCTGTTTCCCTATGTATTCAGATGCTTGTATGTGTAGACATGTACATACGAATTTTGAGTGTGTAAACAAAGCAACATGCTGAATACATATATTATCCAGCTATTTCATGTAATATAGGGTGGACTTAAAGTTCAAATTCCACATGAACTTTATGTCCACCCTGTATTTACCTAAAAGGTAAATAGGGAAGTACAAAAAGGTCTAGGATATACACTGAGGTATTAACAGTGCTGGTCTCTAAAATGGGAAGGTGAGTGTTTTTATTTGTTTGTGTATATTAAATGTTTACATCTACATCTGTCTACAAAGAGCATGTACTATTTTTTCTATAAAAAGGAAATAAAGTTATTAGATTTTTTCCCAAGGGCCCTACAATAGTAACATGTGAGTTCCTATTAAGAAAACAAAACATTTTAGTCCAGTAGCCAATGTCAATATTTTTAAAAATCAATCTGTGGAAGGAGGGCCCTGGAGGGGAGAGGAGGGAAGGCCTGGGTCCAAGTTAACCAGTGAACTAGCAGGAAAGCTGAGTCCAGAAACTGGGATGGGCGGGGCCTAGGCACCCCCATTTTCAAGTGAGGAAATGAATGGACGTTCATAGGGTGGGGGGGTGGGAGGGGTCAGGTTCAATCCTGCTGAGAAGGAGAGAGCACTTGTCCTTGGTCAGAAGAGCTAGGTTCAACTCTAGGCTTTGACCATTCACCCTACATGGGGCAGTGATGGCAGCTCTTGTTTCCTCATCCATGTAGTGGTGGTAAGAATGACTTCCTACGGAGCTGCTATCAGAGTAGAGGAGGATTGGAAAGCATTTGTTCACTTCCCAACCCCAGGCAAACATTTGTTATGATTACTCCATCACGCTGCTTCCCGAAAAGCAGCAGTTTGGAATGAGCTTTGGCTCCTAAACTGGACTTCCTGCAATAGCGACACTCGGATTATGCAAGGCTGAAAGGTTAACTTTCTCTGAGTCTGTTTTTTCCAGACCACATAGAGCAGGAGACTCTGAGCCTCCTCAGTAAGGCTAGTTTTGTCGAGGGCTGGCAGCTGACAGCTCCATCTAGCCCAGTGCCATGTGTGGTAGGCAACTGGTCAGCGTGGGAGGGAGGCCTGGGAAGCTCTATTCTACTTTGTTTGCATCTCAAAATGGTTTCAAACATATGAAACAAATATCTCCTTTCATGTAATGGACTTGAGCATATGTTTGCTCGCTTGCTTTAGGGGCTGTAAATTGAAGAATCTAAGTGGCAGCTTTCACTCCTCGTCACACTCTCTGAACATTTTTGGCTTCTTGTACATCAGGCGCCGGCTGTACAATTCCTGACACCTGCTATCTATCCTCCAGCTAATCAAAAAGTTTAGCTACATTTGCTTGAAATGTCAAAAGTAATATATAGAGCTGGGATTTCATAGGCTCCTCTGTAGGAGCAGGCTATCTGAATGCATAAAAATGCCGCATAAATCTCTGATTGAGGATGTGATAGCACTTTCTCTCCTCTCCATACCCTGTCCTCATTTTAACCTACACACCACCACGACTCTGTTTTTGAAACCAGGAGTTGGAAGGGACTGTATAGATCCCTTACACAGTACCCTAATTTGACAGATGATGAAAAGGACACCCCAAGAGATGTCATATCATGCCCAATACCATATGGTGAATTCACTTCAGCTGAAGAAAGGAAGTACAAGAGCTCACAGAAGAAGCTGGGTCCATGCCCATATCATGCTCAGGCATCTGGCCAAAGCAATTAATCCTGTGAAAAATAATTTAAAAAACCCAGCTTTATGTGGAAATTTTAAAAATACTAATGCCAGGGCCCTCCTCCAAGAGATTCTGGTTTAATTGGTCTGGGGTGAGTCCTGGGCACTGGTGTTTTTCAAGGCACCACAGGTCATTCTCATGTGCAGCCAGGATTGAAAGCCATTGGTGTAGAATAATGCACTTGCTTAAGAGTCTAGTGCAATATAGCAGAAAAAATACTGATCTTGGGGCCTAGAGACCGAAGTTCGAGTCTGGACCTTTTCAAGATCATCAGTGTGGATTCAGGCAAGTTGTTTAACTGCTTTTATCCTCATTTATCTGTAACTCCTAACATCATTCCAAATCTGAAAATAGGTGTCCAAGAAAGTGCTTTGCAAACTCTGGAGCCCTGAATTCATGTGAGGCAGACCCTTTAGAGACTTCTCTAATGGAACACTTTTTTAGTAGTTGCTGGGATGAAAGTATTTCAAAATGTACATGAAAACACTACACTGTACCCCCTGTTTGCATTAATGTATAGAGCTATCATTTAATAAAAAAAAATAAAAACAAATGAATAAATAAATAAATGTTAACGTGTCACAAAAAAAAAAAAACAATTGAATTGAATTCAACCAATATTCATTGAATGCCTAGTAGAAAATACACACTATGCTAGGTGTTGGTCACACAAAAATGAAGACAGAGATTAGGAGTCCTCAGTCTTGTAAGGGGAGGTGGACCTTTAAACAAGGAGATCTTACAAAGACAATAGAAAGATTTAGCTACAAAGGGCAGAGAGAATAAAAGAGGAGATGCTCGTTCTGGAAGACTGTGGTCAAGAAAGAGAAAGGGATATTTGAGCCAGTTGGAACAGTCAGTCTCCTAGCTAGAAAATAAAGGAGAAGGTTGTTTTAGGTTGAGACAGGAGCATATGCAATAACACAGAACGGTTGGTTACCCATCCTTGGCGGACGGTATGGCTGGGGCATTGAGTGGTAGAGTGAGATGCAGGTGGTTGACAGGTAGGTCAGATCACCATCCCATATAGATGGGCAGACATCCCATCTACTATTTTTAGGGGAAAAGAAAATGAAGTTTGGTGGCAGGTTTAAAATTGTACTGGATTTAAAAAGAACAGAATGATCGAGTTAGCTGTGAGGACCTCATTAGCTCTCTGAACCACAGGTTAATTGGAGTTCTGAGAGTAACGCAGTCTGGAGCCCCTCATTGGCCTCAGACCCAGCAAAGTTGCTAAGTAACTGCAGGAGAGAAACAAATAGAAACACTTTCCCAATGGAAAAGAAAACTAATGGGAAAAGGTGGTGTTTAGGGACTTGTCACATACATAGTGTTTTGGGGTGTGTGTGTACCTGTGTGTTTGTGTGTTTGTATTTCTAAATAATGGAAATAAATAGGGTGGATGGGTTTTCAGACTTGCAGAAAAAGCTTGTAAGGAGCGTCTGGTAAGGAGAATAAAGTAAGATGAGAAATAGGAAAGGTGGAGAAGCTTAAGATCATTTGGAATTTAAAGTCCTAGGTTTCAGAGTTCCAAAAGATCA